GGGTAAAAAAGGCGAACGACATTTCGCTAAGGGCCTTCGTGCTTTTAATATAGTATAGATTAAATACTTAAAAGAGGGTGAATGAGAAATTGGGGGAAATGAAATTTTTGAGTGAAATTTTAAGTTTCCCCCCTTGACAAAGGGAAATTATCCTACATTGGAAGAGGAAGAGGTTTTTCATGGGTATATAAGCAAATGCTCTTCTTCTAATTCTTAAAGAGTTGAGAAGAAGGCAAGCCTCGCAGCGTCGTCGTCGCTCGACTTCAGCTTCGGATTTTTTGGACTAAATTTATTTGTTAATAGTAAAATATTAACAGAAATATTATTAAATATTTGTTTTAATAGCAGAATATTAATAGTAAAATAAATATTAATATTAAATCTTCCAATCCGTTTTTCAGTTGTGTAACTGAAAATTAAACTATCCTCTATAATTTTCCATCTTTATTGTTGAGTAAATAGCCATTTGTGTTATGACATTTATGATGTGGCCGTTTTGCATAAACAGCCATTCTGAAGAGTTGCACCTCTTCAGATTTCAGCCCAACTTTGGCTATAAATACAAGTTTATTCTGCTTAGAATTTCCATACGCTTTTCTGAGTTTCTCCTCCTTCTTCTGCATACTTTTAACATCAAACAAAGCAACAGTAAGTGTGATTTGCTACCGAATTTTGTGTTCGCTGAAAAACTGGGGTTTGAAGTACCACTACACCAGTGTGTAATTCGTTCTATCCTGAGAGAAAATAATCCATAACCTTGGGTACTAGGAGGAGATTAAATTCCTTAAGAAAACACTGTGAATTCAGTGGGCTCGAATTAGTTTTTGTTATTTCGTTTACATTTCTGTTTATGTTATTTTATTTTCTCCAAAATTGTTTTACAAATACAAATTACTAACAGCTTGTACAGATAACAAAAAAATAAGCTAGCTTTTTGCCTCCGATGGGAAAAATTGTTTGGTTTTATTCAATGGAAACAAATAGTTATAACCATTGAGACTTTTTCTATAGTTGCCTAGCCGGTCCAAATTTCATTGGGATATTCGATAAAATTAAAGAAAATACATTTAAATTGGTCCCACTTCAAATCTTGAGTTTGCTTAATACACAATTAGTTATTGTTCAATGGAAGAACTCAATAACAAGAAGAAGAATCCCAAAATCATTAATGGCTGTAAGTAATATTTTCTCTTCAATTTCTGGTTTTTGCACCTTAATTAGCTTGTTATTCTTCATTATGACTTCCTTACAAGGCAAAGGTGCTGTTGAAATCATAGATTTTGGATGTTAAAAATCTTAGGAATCTTCTTATTTTGTAGATTAAGATATTAGTATGTGATTAAAGAACAAATTCAAAGTTGTTTCTCAGGGAACAAAAGCTTAGGGATTAAATTTTAGTCGTGTTAGTATATTTACTTTAACAACTTTTTTGAATGATTGTTAACTATTGTATTGTATCGTATTGTTACTTTAAATATAATTTTTTTTATTGTTACTTAAATTTTATTATATTGTATCGTTAAATCGATCGATACGTAACGACCAAAAGTATCACTTTATAGAACGATCGATTTGGTGTGGTCGCGTTGTTACCTTATTTTTTCCTCTCATCTTGCCTTTTTTTATTATTGAATAATCATATTTTATCATTTACCCTACCATTTTTATTTAATAATATTACCTCGTACCTTACTTTTTTTATATATATAATATTGCAAGTTTATTCTTCATATTGTGGGTTCATGACATCATGAAATAACTGCAAACAATACAATATATCCTAACATTGTACACATCAAAACGATACAGTACAATACGACACATTATGAAACGATACATAACAACCATCCAAAATAAGTTGTAAGTCCTATATATGCAATGAGTCTTTTAGTCATGTCAATGATTTATATTCCAGTAGAAAATACATAAAACTTTAATGGAGCGACATGTTCAATGATGACTCATACAACCGACCTCAACTTGCTTAATATTGAAGCGTTGTTGTATACTCGTTGCAGCACGTATCACATGTTCCTAAGTTCGGAAACTGGGATGGTGACAACGTGCCATACACAGCCTATTTTGAGAATGCGCGCAAAGGAAAAGGCGGTAAGATGATAAATCCAAATGATCCTGAGGAGAATCCAGAGGTTTTTGCATATAGAGGATATGAAGATGCTAGTATTAATGTTTCTCCTGCGAGAACTCCTTTAGTCGAAACGCCTCAGTACAATTATGGTCATCGCAGAAATCTTTCTGATAATCTTGTAAGTTCAGTTAACCAACCAACTGTCTGTCGCAGAATATCTGATGCTAAGAAGAATAAGAATGATCGCGGCAATATATTCGTTCCACCTAGTCCTAATAGACTGAAAAATAGCAGAAATCCATCTGATGATCTTGTAAGTTCTTCTCTCTTTGATTGTCTAAATTTAAATTTATTGTCTCTTTAGAAAACACTGAATGATATACTCTGCTTTGAACGTGCAATAATTTTTATGTAGTGACAATAGTCTCTTTAAATGTTTGGTTAGAGCTTTAGAATCATCATTTTGGGGGTGAGGATCATACAATATCTTTGAATTAAAACTTTGTCTAGTGTTATTCTTAGTATAAAATTCTGTAACAACACTGTAAGAACATGCAAGAAGTAATATATCATAGATGCAGGGGCGGATGTAGAGCAAAGGGTACGGGTTCCCGTGAATCCAGTAATTTTTACATAAATTCTGTATTTATACTAAAAAATTCACTAAACGTATAAGAATATTTAGTTTGGAACCCAGTACGTTGGTCCAGTCTTCATGTAGATTAACTTGAGATTGTTATAGGAACTCATAAGCTTAAAATTCTGGATCCGCCTTTGCATAGATGTGACATTGATGATTAAGCTGAGCCATCTTTCTTGCTATATCCAGATAATAGGTAGGAGTATAAACTAAAATATTCTGGGGCTACAAAGATAGTTATTAAATCATTAGCACAACATAAAAACATTCCCCTAGAGTAGCTGTTAATACGAATAAGAGAAACTCTATTATAAACATCTTATTGAGAGCCAAAGTTTATATTATTTCATGTCCCGCTGCTAAAATGAAGTCTTTTTCAAGGCAAAAACCTACTTGCACTCGATATTTACACCTAGGAATAGCAAACTGGCGGGTCGGGTCGGATATGGTTTGTGTCAAAATGGATAATGAAAAACGGATAAATTATCTGACTCAACCCATATTTAATACGGATAAATTACCCATATTATCCATAACTTCTTGAATATGATCACTTTTGGGAGAATTCCTAGTATCCCAAACTTGAGAACCTCCGATTTGAGGCTTTACAAATGTAAAAGTTAAACGCATTGGTTAACATTGGTTAATCATTTTCTAAATGGATAATATGGTTCTTATCCATATTTGACCCGTTTTTAAAAAGTTCATTATTCAACCCATTTTTTAATAGATAATATGAGTGTTTAACTGTTTTCTTTTGACCATTTTGCCACCACCGTACTCCTACTTCAATAGGAGGGGTTCTTCTCTTTTGAATCTAATATCCTATTTTTATATCTTTGATTGTATTTAATCAAAGTAAAGGCAGAATATCTCGAGACCCTTATAAACTTGACATATTTTAATCAGTGCGCAACTGATTTATTTTCTTCTTGACTACCTCCTGAACTATTTTTGTGTGTGCACTGAATAAAACGTTTTTTTTTTTGTTATTTTATAGGCGCATTAAAGCTTAATTTCCTATAGATATTGTAAATTTCTGAGTGGTCAAGAAATATGTCTCTAATTGAACCCTACAGTCTTATTATTCATCCGCGTCAGTACCAAAATTTGGAGCTCTTGCATATAAACTTACCGTATATTATGTTGGAACTCCAGCACATAATGAAATTCCAGCACATTATGCTAGAAAATTCATATGTAAAAAATTCGAGCTCTAGCATATTATGCTGGAATATTTCCAGATTTTTAAGGGTATTTTTGTTAAGATTTTATCTTTACATGAAAAAGTGACTAAATTTGATTACTTTTGAAACTGTGATTATTTTTTAATTAACAATTGTAAATTTGGCTATTTTTGATTTTTTTTCCCGACAGTCTTATTATTCATCAGCATCAGTACCAAAATTTGGAGCATGGGATGAGAAAGATCCCAAATCTGGAGAAGGATTTACAGTAATTTTCAACAAAGTAAAAGAGGAAAAGCAAATAGCAGCTGCTAAGTTCCCTATTGTGCAGCCACAACCAAACATGCCTTCCTCACATAAAACTAATGCTAAATCAAAGGTATGTCTCATTTTCGAGATTTTAAGAAAAAAGAGCAGATCTATATGGAAAACAGACGATAATTGTTTTCGACTCGAACTATATATAGTAGTGGATGTAGTGGTACTCCACACCCGCTCGCTTAAATCAAGATCTTGTATGATATTTTTGGACTTGCACGCATGGTTGTTTGGAGTCTGGGATGATCCGAGCGCATTTTGGCGCGTCATGTGAGAATTGGTGAAAATGATCTTTAAAGTTGAAATTCTTGAGTTTTGATCATCGATTCTTGTTATTTGATGTTATTTTGATGATTTGAGATAGCGAGGAAGTTTGTAGGATGTTATTACACTCGGGTGCATGTTCGGTATGGAGCCCGAGGGGCTCGGGTGAGTTTTGAGTGTGTTACGGATGGGTTTGCTACTGTTGGCGTCCAACAGTTGTTGGTGTCCAGTTGCATATCTCGTATTTGCAAGGTCAGGCTCGCATTTGCGGTCACAGGATCGCATTTCCGATAAAGGGGCTGAGCTGGGTGTCTTCGCATTTGCGAAGGCAGGTTTTCTTTGTTGTCTGTTTATCGTCATTCAAGATTTCTTTATTAGCAACTGCATGACGTAATGTTATTTCTATCACAAAAGTTGACTCATCTACATGTGTGCCATTGACAAAAATGAAATAAGAAATTATATAAATTTAGTAACTTTACCTATAGTTAAAATGGATTCACACTCATTCTTTAGGCATTCCTACATATTATTTGGTTTTCTGATTTTTCTTATTTTCTACTATTTTGCAGATGTTTTGCTGCCTCTTTTGAACATCTACATTCTCAAGTCTAATGATAATTTTGCTCCCATTCCTCTCACTCTATGGCTGAAGAATTTTGTATTAATGTTTCTTGTGGAAAAAATATTGGTTACATTTCACTCAAATTTTATTAATGCATCTTTGTTGATAAAAAACATGGTATATGTATATTTATTTCTACTGATAATTTCGGTATTCGTTATCCGCATTAGAATCCGACTAATCTGGATTCGCGTCGCGTAAGGCCCATTTGAAAGCAAACGCTGACAACAACAGAAAGGAAGGGGTCCATGGACATTAATATATCGAGATATTGACGGACCATATAACTTAAACTCATTGCAAATAAATTATATTAAACTCAATGCAAATAAACTATACAACCTAGCGTTATCGAATTGATGAAAGTCGTATTGACTGAGTTTTTAATATTCACTATATAACAACAACAACAACAACATCTCAGTATAATCCCACAAGTGGAGTCTGGGGAGGGTAATATGTACGCAGACCTTACCCCTACCCCGAGGGGCAGAGAAGTTGTTTCCAGGAGACCCTCGGCTCAAGAGAGCAACAAGAGACAATATATTAGTACTATCAATAGACTCATAATAAAACATATAATACATAACATAAAATAAAAATAACAACAATATAAGAAATATAGGAAATACGAAAATGATGGAGAAAAGGATGTAAGGTATACGAATATCCAACAGATATAGCGCTGCATCAGTAGCTGATCAGTAGCATCCTAAGACTAACTCCTAAATGGTTAGTCTCACTCTAGTGCGATGTATTAATATTCACAAACTACCCTCTAACCTACAACCTTAATGCTCGATCTCCACAATTCCCTGTCAAGGATCATGTCCTCGGAAATCCTAAGTCGTGTCATGTCCTGCCTGATCACCTCCCCCCAATACTTCTTAGGCCTCCCTCTACCTCTCCTCGTGCCCACCACCGCCAGTCGCTCACACCTCCTCACTATATAATTTATGAGTATTTGGTGGTAATTGTAAGGTCTCTTGACATATGACGTTATTCTATATGTGAAAAATTTTAAAACTAGAATTTAACTCTCAAAAACACAAGACACTTTCTCTTGAAAGGAAATAAAAAGGAAAAAAAGAAATGGCCAAATCATAGTCATACTAAAAAGAATAAAATGGACATGTATTTATAACAACATGATACTAATGGATTTAATGGAAAACAATAAAATAACGGCCATTATTTCGATCAATAAAGTTTCGTGAGTTAATATGAAATGAAAAGAGAAACAAAAGTTCTTAAAAAAGAAATTAAAAAAATCATGGGGGAACCAAAGTAGCTTATAGTACTACTACTATAGCTGTTTTAATTTATGTGGCGGAGCTCCAATTTCGAAAGTCAAACTTTTTAATTTTCATTGTGAATTAGGACATAGAATCTTTAAGTTTTTTTTAATAATATTTATATATTTGCAAACTTTTATTTTTGACTGTGAATTCGGGCATAAAATCTTTAAGTTTTTTGAAATAAAAATTATATATTTGGAAACTATGTAAAAAATAGTGTAGGTCACAATAATTAACAATTCAAAATATATAAGAGGCATATGAAAAAATTGCGATAAAAAAATTTCGTTTGACTCTAAAAATTCGAACTCAACCACATAAATTGGGGACGGAGGGGTATTAGTATTATTAATTATTTGAATAGGCACTACTCTTGCGTCACGCCTTTGGGTTTTGGCTGTCTCTTCTTTCGGTTGTTGTAATTTGAATTTCAAAATTTGAGATTATTGGATAAATAAACATTTTTTCAAAGATTCTTTTCGAGTCAATTCTTATCCTAAATTTTGAACACAATGACAACACCATCAATTATTAACCTAGATTTAAATATTTATACGGAGGGAATTAAGCAAAAAAGAAAATCACAATTGAAAATATAATGAAGTTTACAGAAACTCTCTATCTTAGCTTGTGCATACCTGTCTTCTTAGAGTCCGTTTGGCTTAGCTGATTTAGAGTAACTGATAAACATTAGGTGCTGAAAAACACTTTTAAGTGTTGAAACTAATTTAAAAAATAAGCAGTTACGTGTTTGGATAAATATGCTGAAATTAATAATATGCAGCTGAAGAACTGGGTATATGAAGAGTTTTGTTTTAAAAAGAAGTATTTTAGGGATAGAATAGTAAATATTTTGGTCAAACTTAAAGTGCTTATAAGCTAAAATTTGATAAGTTGGGGGAGACCAACTTATGGTTTTTGGCTTATAAGCACTTAACTTATAAGTACTTTTAATTTTACCAAACACGTAGATAAGCCAAAAAGTGCTTATAAGCCAGTTTGACCAGCTTATAAGCTTAGCCAAACACCCTCTTATTTTATCCCACTTACCTCCATATATTATCTACATAGTTGAAGACAGTAATAGGTTGTGCGTTCGAGTCTACCCAAGAGTAAGGTGGGAAGATCTTGGAGGGAAGGATGCCGATGGTCTATTTGGAAACAGCCTCTCTACCCCAGGGTAGGGGTAAGGTCTGCGTACACACTACCCTCCCCAGACCTCACTAAGTGAGATTATACTGGGTTGTTGTTGTTGTTATTGTTGAAGACAGTAATAACAATATTAGATGTATATCAATGTGAGACAAACATTATGAGAGAAATTTAAAAGAGATAAAATAAATATAACTTAATTATGCTTATTCATATTCTCAAAGATGAATTGACCTAAATGTCTATTTAATTATTTTTGTTATATTACTCCATCAATTTCAATTGAAATAATATTTTCTTATTAGTTCATTTCAAAAAGAATAATATATTTATGTGTTTCAAAATAAGTTAATTTTAAATTTACCATTTTATCCTTAATAAAAAAAATTTATATCTAGACAAATATTATCATGTCACATAAAATGAACAGGAAGAAGAACAGAACAATGAAAATTGAAACATATGAAATTTAGTTTATCCTATAAGGGGTGGTTTGGTCGGGCGTATAGAATAGTGCTGAATAAGGTATATTTGTAATGCAGAGATTAGTAGTGCATAAGTTAGAATAAGAAGCTTCGAGAAAACTTGTATTTTCTAAATTATATGAAGCCAGTAAGCAAACAGCGAATCCATGGGTATTTGAACCCGAATATCTAGGAAAAAGCAGAATATTTGATGGAATGACGGGGAATCCTTTTGAACAACCCATTATAATGCAAGCATTAGTTATGAAGAGATTATTTCTTATTCACTGTTTGGTGTGGTGTATTAAAAATTAAAATGCATTGCATAATTTTGAAGAAAATTAGTTTTATACAAAAAAATCTCCATAGTCTTTAACCATACTAATGTATACATTAATAGCTTTGGTATTGTTAATACCATGGTTTGCTATGTATTAGTTATACATATAAATATATGATAATACCAAATACGTTGTATAACTAATACTTGCATTAGTAAATTAGTAATACATAGATTGAAAAAGTATATCAAATAAGAGATTAATAATACCAAAAGCTAATGCATGTATTATTTTGACTAACGCATCCTACCAAACGACCCCTAAATGGTTAAAAAAAAAAAAAAAAAAAAAACCCTGTTTACCCACCCAGCTAAACGACGTCGTAAGATAACTTGAAATAGCGCCCTATCTGATATAAATTGCAGTAATAAGTTCCCTCTGTCAGGGTTTTCAAATTTCAGATTACTGAACCAACATTCTTCTCTTCACCATTCATCTCCGTACACAAAAATGGAGATTGTATCAAGTTCAATTTCTTCATGTTCTAAAGAGGATCAGAAGATCTATCAAAACTGGTTCAACTTCGTCGATTCAGGTATAGTTTCATTGATTCATTTACAAGCATTCTTCATTTTACATTTTCAGTGAAATCTCATTGGTTTATTGCTATGTTTTTGTCTTTCTATACGCAGATGGAGATGGTCGTATAACAGGAAATGATGCTACTAAGTTGTTTTCGTTGTCGAATTTATCTAGGCCTGAACTCAAACAGGTAGTGTTCTTATGTGCAGCTGTTCTGATTTTTTGTGATTTTGTCACTTTTTGGTTTTATTTTTGGTAAAAATGTAATTTATGATTGTTTATTTTGAACACGCGGTCTCCTTACCTTCCAAGCCATACTATTTTATATATCTGAATTACCGATATACACACACGCGCACACACATAGAGAGGCATATATGTATATATCATTTTTGAACTTACAGCTTTGTGTTTTATTCATAATTTTGCTATTTGTTTTTCATTAGTAATTTGTTTGTCATGAGTGATTAATAGGGTATATGCTGTGTTTGTTTTGATATTCAGTAGCTTTTGGTGGTGCGTTTCTCTAGTAATTTCTTATGTTAGAACTAGTCTTCTATTGATTGTTTATCGAGATGCCATCTGTTTCCATTAAATATTACAGTTAAATCTTAAAGTCTTTTGCATCTGGTATTGAAGTTTAATGTGGAGTAGTGGTTGCTTAATTAAAATTTATGTAAGTGTTGTTTATTGAGCCATCTTTTGGTTAAAAATGTTTACTAGCTTTATCTTCTAAGATATTGCCGAATTGCCAACCAATGAAATTAGATTGTGCATTGCTATTTTTCAGCATAAAATTACCTCAGTATGCATTGAGTTTAAGAGAATGTTAAGGGGGTTCTTTATTGTGTTTAAAGTAATATTGGTCTGCATAATTGGTGTTGTTGTTTGTTTGTGACTTCCTAGATATTAGCCTTGTGTGATAGCGTTAAATGACTAATTTGCAACTTTGTTGTGCTTTATCTATGAAGGTTTGGGCAATTGCAGATACTAAACGACAAGGTTTTTTGGGTTTCAATGAGTTTGTCACTGCAATGCAGGTGATTGCTGAAACTAAGCTTTTTTATTTCTATAAATACTGTATAGATTGATCAGGTATAACCTAAATGCCTTTTTTCTTCTACTGTAGTTGATCTCCTTGGCACAAGAAGGACGTGAGCTCAGCTCTGATCTCCTTAGGAGCAAAGGTAATGCTTCTTGATCGGTGTTTATAATCCATATTGAAGCATTTAGGTTCGCAGAGCCACAAAGTTATATAGGCTCAAGAATTTGAGCTCTATTTTTTCTATCAATGTTTTAAGCGAGGATAAGTATGATCCAGATATTTCTTGAATCACTATCTTATTATTTTCTGGGCATTATAGCTGAAAGATAAATCAGAAACTTCAGGAGTTGAATTTTGACATTCATTATATACACTTGAAAGGATTTACTGCCAATCTGCTTATTGGGCTACTCAATTTCAAAAACTGAAATTTGTAGTCAACGTACTTACTATTGCTACCAATTCATGCGACAAAGATAACACACATCTCAAGTCATTAGTGTGGAAGTGGTAAGAATAATGCATAACAATTGTTCTTGCAAGTTTTAGATCTATTCTTTTCAACACAGTAGTCAATTATCTGTCACGGGGATGAGAACATGTGAGTTTGTCGTGATTGACTCAGTTCTTGTTTCCTTTTCTCTTATTTATTTTTGTAGCTAATATGGAGTATTTGAGTCCTCCATCTATGGAAGGTTTGGATGCTTTATTATCCGTAAGTGCTTCTACAGTTCCATCTTATTTTCTTATTGTGAATTATAAGCCTGGTAATGTATGGTTTACTTTTTGCCTCCAAGTCGCAGAAGACTGATGGTTCGTCGATGAAAAAAATTGAAACAAATGGTCAGTATAAAATATCATTTCACATCAATGATGCTTTTACTCAAAAAAGAAGAAATATTAAGCCGTCTTGGCTAAATTGCCTAACTTGAAAATGCATACAGGAACTATACAACTGCAGCCACTGCCACCAATCAACTTGTTTTCCAGAAAATCTAGAAAGAAGGTGAGTTTTGATTTCTTTGGGATGTTGATGTTAAATCTATCTTGTGTGTATATGCTCCAATCTTTTCCACTCTCTGCCGAGGTAGCCTTGGCCTATGTTTTGTGCAGTTAAAAGTTTTCTTCCTATAATTATGTCTATGCATGGTAAGCTGATTGACCAGGAAAACTGATATCTCAAGTTCTTTGCCTGTAGTTTACAACATGCATAGTTGAATAAAAATGATGATTTCTCATTCTCATGAGAGCTAGTTATTTTCATTTGGCTTTAGATTGAGCTTTGTGCTATTTTTTCAAATTTATCATATAATTTTGTCTCTGTTCTTTCTAACACTTGGCTAACTCGCAGAATCAAAAGTTTCCCAAAGCCTTGTCCAAAAATGTAGTAATAGTGTCTTTACTACAAATTGGCTCTGGTTATTTTCTCATTTTTCATGTTGACCTTGCTAGTTTCTTTTCGTGTTTGCTTCAGATCCAGCCTTCTCTTACCGCTGTTACATCAGTAACTGATGGTTTGAAGAGACTATACAATGAAAAGTTGAAGCCGCTGGAACTTACTTACCGCTTTAATGATTTTGCATCTCCTGCTCTGGTGAGTAGAGGAAGAAGCTTATAGTAGTACTTTTCAGCAACCTTTTAGATGTCAAACTTGTCATTTGTTTGCGCTTATTTTTATCTGTTGTCATAGACGGAGAGCGATTTTGATGCCAAGCCTATGGTCATGCTTTTGGGACAATACTCGACCGGAAAAACCACATTTATCAAACACTTGCTAAAGAGCAATTATCCAGGTTAGTAATTTCATGTCCAATTTCTCTACTCATATTCTAATACCTGCCAATTCTTTTACCTAATGTTGATCCTTCTATTTGTTCTTTTCTTTTGACTCTTTTGGCTGAAATAGGTGCACACATCGGACCAGAGCCAACAACCGACAGATTCATTGTGGTTACGGTAAATAGGGAACTGTAATTGTTCCATATGTTTTATGCCCTTATTTAAAGATGCATAGGTCCATAATAATAAATGTATTAGTAATAATATATAAGAGTAATTCCCTTGCAATTTTTTCTCTCCAATAATGTTTCCATGGCAGTATGTTTATGACTCAATTTGATTGTTGTGCTCTTTCCATTATAGTGTCTTACAGTGATTTTTTGCTCAGTCTGGTCCAGATGAAAGGAGCATTCCTGGTAACACTATTGCTGTTCACAATGACTTGCCATTCACTGATTTGACGAAGTTTGGTGGTGCATTTTTGTCAAAATTTGAATGCTCCCAAATGCCACATTCTGTGAGTAAATATCTAGCAATTTATTTTACTTTTATACTATTATGACACGTAGTTTAAGAATTAGTCTAATAATTTTTTCCTTCATAGCTTCTTGATCATATTTCATTCGTGGACACTCCTGGAGTTTTATCCGGAGAGAAGCAAAGGACACAGAGAAGTTATGATTTTACGGGTGTCATCTCATGGTTTGCTGCAAAATGTGACATGATACTCCTCTTGTTTGACCCACATAAACTTGATATTAGTGATGAATTCAAACGAGTTATATCATCTTTGAAAGGTCATGAGGACAAAATCCGTGTAGTATTAAACAAGGCAGATCAAGTAGATACACAACAAGTAAGATATGATGATTATCAATACAAAATTACCTTATATTCACTTTTTTCTACTTCACAAGATGATTTTGCTTGATTCTAAAAGTTATTCTGCGTTTCGTTTTTATGGCAGCTGATGAGAGTTTATGGTGCATTGATGTGGTCTCTTGGAAAGGTTCTGAACACACCTGAAGTTGTGCGAGTCTATATAGGGTAAGAGGAAGGTCTTTTTTAGTTCTCTATAATTTGATCAAAGTTGCTACATTATATGCTTAGAGATGATCATTTGATAGCATGCCGACTATAAAAGAAATGAAGAAAAGTTTATAGCTAACACCTTTTGTGCATGACTTTAACATTTGTCAACATTTTTAATCATAGTCATTCTTCACATGGTGTAAGCTCTCGCGACTTTTGGCTTTGCAGCTCTTTCAACGACAAACCAGTTAATGAAGAAGCTGTTGGTCTTACTGGAAAGGATCTTTTTGAAAAAGAGCAAGATGACCTTCTTGATGATTTGATAGATATTCCTAAGAAGGCTTGTGATCGTCGAGTAAGATCACCTTCCTTTTCTAATACCTCTTCTTGTCCAATGGCATTTCAATTTGCTTAACATTGTGTACCAGATGGTTTTGGATTCTCATATAAGTTTTGTACTACTGCAGATCAATGAATTTGTTAAACGTGCCAGAGCGGCAAAGATCCATTCCTACATAATTAGCCATCTTAAGAAGGAGATGCCTGCATTGATGGGCAAATCCAAAACCCAGCAGAAACTCATCCAGAATCTTGATAACGTGTTCGAAAAGGTCTCTTTCTGAACACACTTGTACTAAATGGATCTCTTTATATTTCAGATATGTGCTTATATTGAATTTACATTTACGACACAGGTCCAGAAAGAATTTCGTTTACCAGCTGGTGATTTCCCAAGTGTTGATCATTTTAGGGAAGTTTTAAGTCATTACAGTATCAATGATTTTGAGAAATTGAAGCCCAAAATGATTCAAGCTGTCGATGACATGCTCGGTCATGACATCCCAGAGCTTCTGAAGAACTTCAGAAATCCTTATGAGTAAAGCTCCTTAATGTTTGCACCACTTCAAGAAGTTTTGAGGTTGAAAGTTTTGCATGAATGATGATTCAGAATGTTACTTTTATCTTGATGTAAATTTACTGCAGTTTCGTGCATTCTTTGCGCTGTGAATTCGAACCTCATTCAGTTCGTTATGATAAATAGATAACATTCAGAGCTTAAATTTGCTGTGTCACCATCCATTCTATATTTTTTTATTCTTTTTTCTTTGAAGCAAATTTGCTTTATTGAGCCGAAGGTCTTCCGGAAACAGCCTCTCTACTTCTTATGAGCCCAGCTTAGCATATATACTACCCTTCTCAGACACCCTCGTGGGAATACATTGGGTATGTTGTTATTGTTCTTTGAAGCAAATTATATCAAAGTCAGCAGAATCAAGTTACAGATTAGTTTGCAAAATCAAGTTACAAATTAGTTTCATCATCTACGCAAATCACAAAGTTTACTTAATAAGAAAATTACTACAACATATCATCACGATAAAAGAATGGAAAGGAAAATTTTGGAAATGAAGGGCTTGATTCTCTCTTCCTTCTTCTTCTCCTCTTGGTAAACTTCCTCAAGAATTTACCTTAAGAGTAGTATCTCCAGAAATGGCCTTCCATATCTCAACAAACATAACATCATCATCATTCTTTCCTCTAGCAACATGATTATTCAGATTCGCCCCAGCTCAGGACAAGTAAACATGGGCGAAAACGGAGACCAGCTAGATACATTATCTCCACTATTCTTAAAATTCTCCATGGAAAATCCTAAAGGCATAAATCCCCAACTACAGAAATAAGCTTCTTTTCCATCAATAATTGGTGGAGGGGATGCAATTCTCACAGCTTGAAAAGCCCTCTTACAATTTCGACACGAAAATGTACAATCAACATAATCCAAAGGGTACTCATACATAACATAACAATAAGGACATGCAGTCCAGAAGCTCGGTATCTTATTTGATGCATCATTTGCATTCCCTTCTTTCTCCTTCACATTACTCGCATTATCACTAGTATTAGCAGACCTGTTTTCATTGTTCCCCACCACATTCTCATTTCTATCGGGGCGCTGTTGATTACCATGCTGCTCTACAGAAACCACTGGCTCTCGCCCTCGGGTCGAGCTCAACCCATTGCCAAATGGTGTGTTTTCTCTATTTAAGCTTCTCTCGGAAGTTACCACATTCTCATTTCTATCAGGGGGCTGTTGATTACCATGCTGCTCAACAGAAACCACCTGCTCTCGCCCTCGGGTCGAGCTCAACCCATTGCCAAATGGTGTGTTTTCTCTGTTTAAGCTTCTCTCGGAAGTTACAGGCTGTGGTTGGTTTAAATTGAAGAATGTCACAGGTTGGTCATCTGTGTTTGAAAATGAAACAGAGCTCACTGGTTGTGTCTGTTGTCTCAGAAATGTTGCAGGTTGTTGCAGCTGATGTTGTTGCTCTGTACCCGAGCTAGCCATAGAAGTCACAGATTCTTGTTCACGATTCAGAAATGTGACTGGCATAGAAAATCCAGCGTGTGGGTCTCTAACTCCAGTAGCATGTGACCCTTGATCTTGACTAGGCAAATTCACAAACACTTGGTCTGCAGTTGAACCAGGTATTTCAGAATATCCACCATGTTGCACAAAACTCACTGGAGTAGGTGTAGAAGCAACTGGGTAAAGATTAACGAAGAAACCCAGCTCTTTATCATACATACTTTTCCTCAGTGGGTTAGAAAGAACTGAAAATGCATCAACAACAAGGCGAAAAGCCTGATCTGAAAACGGAAAATTGTTGTTCTGAGGATTCAAAAGAAGAGCAAATCGGCGATACTGATCGGCGATGAATTCGAAATCTTGGGTTTGATTAGGAGGTATTTGGAGGATAGAGTAGTAATCAAAGTAGTGGTTGTTTATCCGTTTGGCGCCGGCGATTAAGGTGTCGATGATACCGAGTATTTGGTCGGTAGCGTGTGATAATGTCGGGTCGGATTCACGGGCACGGGTCGCAAATGATTTGCTGCCGACTAGGTCACGATTTGTGAGGAGTTTTTCGGCGATTGATAGCCACCGTAATGCTTCAGATGGGTTTGTCGGGGGAGGGCTATTGATGAAGAAAGGATGTTCCATTTTTAGGGTTTTAGGAAGCAATAATGGAGGAAGGAGGAAATAAGGAAAGAGAGAGTGCCTACTTATAACCTGTTTGGCAAAGCTTATTTTTGGCCAACAGTGTTTTTTTTGTTTTTTGGAAACAGCCTCTTTATCCTTCGGGGTAGGGGTAAGGTCTGCGTACATATTATCCTCCCCAGACCTTATTTGTGGGATTATACTGGGTCGTTGTTGTTGTTGTTGTTGTTGTAGTGTTTTTTTTGTTTTCGCCAACAGCATTTTTGACCAAACATTGAGGTATTTGGTCAAGCTTATTTTTGGCCAACAGTATTTTTTTTTCTTTTCGCCAACAACACTTTTGACCAAAAATTGAGGTGTTTGGCCAAACTTATTTTTGGCCAACAGTGTTTTTTTTTTCTTTTCGCCAAAAGCATTTTTGACCAAAAATTGAGGTGTTTGGCCAAGCTTTTGGAAGGGAAAAAAGTGCTTTTGAGGAGAAACAGAAGCAGTTTTGGAGAAGCAGAAAAAAAGTAACTTCTCTACAAAAGTACTTTTTTGAGAAAAATACACCTAGAAACAGTTTTTTAAAGCTTGGTCAAGCACTAATTGTTGCTCAGAAATGCTTTTCAAACTAATTAGTCAAACACAAACTGATTCTCACCAAAAGTACTTTTGAGAAAAGCACTTTTAAAAAAAATACTTATAAGTTGATTTTTGCAGCTTGGCCAAACGGGTTATTAGATTGGACGAAAAAGGACTGTGTGTGTGAAATGACATACAAGTCACATGTTGTTTGCATATTGTTTTGTTTAAACTAATAATCTTACGAGTAGTTTGGTCTGAAACAAGTTATTTCGGGATTTATTATCCCAGGATTAGTTATTTAATCCTTTTATAAAGATAAATGAACACTACAGTTACGGAATAATTAATCCCGAAATTAGTTATACCGCAATTTTATTCAATCAAACATGGGATAAACTTATTTTAAATTTAATTCCGAGATTAATTATCCATTATCTCTCGTACCAAACGAACCCTTACTACATTATGTCTCTTACAATTTTAAAATTAAGAAAATGATCTTTTCAGATCTCTTATGTGTAAAAGACCGATCTCTTACATGTAAAAATAAATCTTTCATGTGTAAAAAAAGAAGGTAAAGTTATGAAACTAAAACCAAGTTTGTAAAAAGCCATAATACCAATTGACCCGTTTTAATTTATGTAAACCTATTTAAATGGGCACGAAGTTTAAGAAAAAAAGAAATTTTTGAACTTGTAGTGTAAAATGAGATACATGTATTTTGTGTGGCTATAAATCATTATATAAAAGTATATTATTTTCAAATATGAAAAAAAGTCAATTTTTTTGACATGAACTAGAAAGAAAATATGTTCGCATAAATTGAAACGAGTGAAATATATAATATATTTTATCCGTTAAAAAATTCTTTCCTTCTTTATTTCCTAAGTAGTCTATTTCAAAAAATTTGATTTCAATATTTCCTTAATACTCTTAAGAAAATATGGCAGGCTTCAAACAACAAGTTTCAAAATTTTTACAAACATACAAATGTTATAGCGTAGTTAAGACTATATATCTCAAAATTCTTTCCTTCTTTATTAAAGATTGTATCAAGTCAAATTAAGACAATCCCTCTCTCTTTTAACCAATTTCCTTTTTCTAATCTATAAATTCTCTTATTTTAGTTTTTAAATTTAAGCCCGTTTGGACATAAGAATTTTTTTATTTTTTTTTCGAAATCAGTGTTTGGCCATAAATTTTATAATTTTCATTTGAAAATGAATTTTGAAATTTTTCGAAAATTTGAAAAACTCCAAAAAATTATTTTTCAAAATTTTCTCTCAGATAACTCACAAAATTTCAAAAATAACCCAAAATTATATTCATGTCCAAATACAACACTAATTTTCAAATACTATAATTTTCACTTTTTTTTTTTTAGAATTTTATAATTCTTATATCCATGCGCCCGCTAAATTTCCCAACTATGAATTTTTGTAAGATTCTCTTAATTCATTGAATTTATCAAATACCTTTTTTGCTTCTTTGAATTTATCACAAAACAGGTGTGGGCCTTAAAATATATATATTAAACTTATTTCCCATAGTAAAAATACGTAGAAAATTTCATAATCATCAAACGGCCAAAGATCCGAATCCGAATAAAAGTAGTCCCTTTCCCATTTAATTCAGAAGTATTAAACTATTGCATTTCTATCTCCAACAAGAAAATCATCACCTTTTTTTCTCTTTAATTTTTTTTTTTTTAAAGTGTTTGAGCTTATTAGTCAGCAATGGAGAAATTAGGGAAAAGATTTCTAGGAAAAGTAGCAATTGTGACAGCTTCTACACAGGGTATAGGTTTTAGCATAGCTGAGCGCCTTGGTTTAGAAGGTGCTTCTGTTGTTATCTCCTCCAGAAAACAGGTTTGCTTTTTAAACAAAAAAATTAAAATTAGTAAAAAAAAAATTATTTTATCTTTCAGATAATTCTTTGTTAATGTATTTCATAATTTTCTTGTTTCAAATTTCAGTGACTTCTTCTAATGAGTCTGTTTAGCTTGGCCAAAGTTTGATGCTTCTGTATTTGATTGCATTTTCTAAAATTGGGTTTTCATCTTTTCACATAATTTGCTGTTGAGTGTTGATGTTTCAAGACCTTTAATCAGAGGTCTTGGGTTCGTGCCATGGAATGAAGAAATTACCGGGAGTGTTTCCCATTTAATGGGTCCTCTTTAATGGGTACTATGTGGCACGAATCACGATTAGTTGGCCATTTTACCTGATGGTTAAACAAAAAAATAGAAATTAACATTACCAGTAAAGATTCCTTTAATTCTTTATTGGATGTTTCTAGTTTGGCCAAAATTTGAAGCTTTTTCTGTGTTAGATTTGATATTTTGAAATGAGTGTTTGATTATTTTAGATATTTGTTGATATTTCATCGTTTCTTGTCAAGTTTATGTGAAATCTTCATTTGGGTATTTCTAATTTGGCCAAAGTTTGGTGCTTTTTGTGTCTTTGATTGCATATTTTATGGGTGTTTATTGAAAAAATGGGATCTTCAAGAATTTCATACGTCGATATTAGGGTAAAATACTAACATGGTTTGCTGAGTCTTCAATTTTGCTTAGAGTGGATTTTATTTGCTTGTTGTAAGTTTTGAACTATATATAGTTTGGTTGCTTGTTTGTGCATTTGGTGTTTTGACTTGAGGGTTCTTTTAATCTGTTCATTTTACAGAAAAATGTTGATGAAGCAGTACAAAAACTTAGCGATCGAGGAATCGAAGTTTTTGGAGTCGTATGTCATGTGTCCAATGCACAACAAAGGAAGAATTTGATCGACAAGACCATTCAGGTATCTCACTAGTGTATTTATCACTTGTTCAATCAATCAGATTCAGAAGTTTGAGTTCAAATGTATGGTATATATCAGATACTAATGAACTCTCAGAAGTTATTAAAAACCGAGATATGCACTAATGTCAAATTGGTTGGTGCTTGAATTCTTCACTGGCTAAATTTGCTGGTGAAAGAAACTTGTTAGCTTGTAATCCTTTTCTAGTGTGAGCATACTTTTCTTAATAACAATGGTGTGCGGGCCAGCTTACTCGCACCTTGAATATTCTACCAGCTACCCGCTACCTCTCTCACCATCATAGGTATTGCATAGGTACATAGGTACCTGGTAATTCTGCCCACCAATGTTTAGGTAGATGATAAGAAATCACTTTGTATTTTTTGTCTCTGCCAGCTTTCCAAGGTTTGCACCCACTTTTGCGTGTAAACCTGGAGATGCTTTTCCTCAATTGGTCCTCGTGCATGAGGTTCGTAGGGGAGTCTAACCGTTTCATCATATTAGAGTGATTGTTGTTTACTATTCTTAAAATGGCTGCTCTCCTCTTCAGCTTGAGATGGAGCCATTTAAGGAATCATTTAGATAAGAAGTTTGTGAAGTATATTGGACATCGATTTAGACTTTGTGAAGATATTAAATTTGTGTTCAGTGCCAGAAGCTTAATAGGTATTTGCATTCTCTATAAATTCTGGAGAGAAAAACCAAGAGTAATAAATATGAACACGGTGGACTAATAATCTATTAACGACTAATTTCCTTGATAAATGCATGTTTACCTCAATGTAATCTTTTAACTATTGGACAAGGCACCAATAGATATTTTAATGTGAAGGGTGTAGTTATGTACTGATATTAATCGCATCTGGTCCAGGTTCTTGGTATAATATTTGTGAAAGCGTCAAATTAAGGTTGATTTATGATCACAAATTAAGATAGATTTTGCTAATTGAAATTTGTCATTTTTCAGAAATATGGGAAATTAGATGTTATTGTGTCAAATGCTGCTGTAAATCCTACGGTGGATGCGATATTGGAAATTAAAGAACCAGTCCTTGACAAGTTGTGGGACATCAATGTGAAAGCCGCAATATTATTACTTCAAGTAAGTCATTTGATATGAATAAATTCAATAGAAACTTGTCTGATATGCATACTCTATAAAAATTTAATTGAGGACGTTAGAAGATGCTAATATTTTCTTTTTATCACATGTTTCAGTTTATTCTGGTTTCCATTGTAACAATATTACTTTTAATTGTTCTTGGCACGGCACATAATATTTTACTCTTTTAACCACTTACAGGATGCAGCTTCTTACCTTCAGAAGGGTTCCTCAGTTGTTATAATTTCCTCTATTGCTGGTTATACGCCACCAGCTGCCATGGGAATGTATGGAGTAACAAAAACAGCCCTTCTCGGATTGACCAAGGTACTTATTGTGGCATTATTGGCATATCAAGTAACCACATCGTATTGGGGCATTTGCACAAATGGCCTTTTCTTCGGGCACTATTTAAATTACGTCCCCATTAGCCTAAGAAGAAATATTCATTCAACTACTTTTGAAGACGAAATTTAGTCCACTGGGCTAACGAGGACAAAATTTAAAGAGTGGCCTCATAGAAAGGCTGCAAATTCCTAATTTCCTTCTAACTTGTGGGCTTTCAGGCTCTCACGGCTGAAATGGCTCCAAATACTCGTGTGAACTGTGTAGCACCAGGTTTTGTACCCACACATTTTGCTGAATTTATCACCGGAAATGCCAATGTGGTAAGTTCTCAAAATATTTGGATCTCTATCTGTCGTCAGTTAACATTTGATCAAGTTAACAGTTTATTTACTAGATGGTGCTTGTATTTAGAGGAGAGAACTTGAGGCTAAGACATTACTCAATAGGCTCGGAACAACACAAGACATGGCCGCGGCTACTGCCTATCTGGCATCAGAAGATGCTGCGTATGTAGCGGGAGAAACTCTTGTAGTTGCTGGTGGAATGCATGCAAGACTGTAGCATCCTTCTTTTAAGTCCTCCCCCATCTTTTATAATCTCGTTATCGCTTCTCCATAATAGGAAATTACCATGATATTAAAAATTATGGTCTTTGTGCTCCTTTCATTGTTTTAAAACTACACTTGAAATACAAGGGGTACTGTGTTCTCCCCCTCACTGTTCTTTCCTTGCATTTAGTGAAGTAATATCTCCTATCTTGGAGCTAACAATAACATTTACTTGTTCCTGCTTTACAATGACAACAACAAACCCACTGAAATCCCCAAAGTGGGTCCGGAGAGGATAATGTGTATGCAGACCTTACCCCTACCCTATGAAGGTAGAGAGGCTATTTTCGATAGATCCTCGGCTCAAGAACAGTGAAAATGAGGGATTTGTTCCTCCATTTAGTGAAGTACTATCTCCTATCTTGGAGCTAACAATAACACTTACTTGTTCCTGCTTTACAATAACAACAAAAAACCGAGTGAAATTTTGCAAGTGGGGTTTGTGGAGGGTAATGTGTACACAGACTTTACCTCTATCATACGATGGTAGAGAGGTTGTTTCCGATAGACCCTTGGCTCAAGAACAGTGAAAAGGAGGGATTTGTTCCTGCTTTCTTTTCAGAATTATAATGTTGAGGCGGACGTTTTTAGGTTTGTAATCTTGATTAATTTTCCAGAAATCCCTCCCTCAATAACATTTAAACCAGCTTTAGAAACCGGTAAAAACAGCACCACCAGCAAATTACAGCAATAGCAGAAATGGGATCTAGGGAGGGTAGTGTGTACACAGACCTTACCCCTACCCTGAGGAGGTAGAGAGGCTGCTTTCGAAAGACCCTTGGCTCGAGAGGAGGAATAGAAATAAGCAAATATCAACAGCAAAGGCCAGAAAGATGATACCAACAATGTATGAACCGGAAAAATAGATGGATGAAAGCAATAGCAAGAGGAAGAGGAAGAATTGCAAGCAAATATCAACAACAAAGGCCACAAAAATGATACCAACAATGTATGAACCGGAAAAATAGATGGAAGAAAGTATAGCAATAGAAACAAGCAGTAACAACGATAAGGTACTAGAAAACCGAAGCGGAAGATAGTATGAAAACAGCCATAATACTAGCAATCTAAGAACAACCGCAAAAGGTCAGTTCTACAAAGCAGATGAATCAACTTCTGATGGTTTTATAAATCCATTGTTGAACTGGTTTCACCTATAATAGTCTAATAAACCTTGTCATATCATGTCAACTGTCAATATATGCACATAAGTGGGAAGGAAGTTGAAGAAACAGAATAAAAAAAAGACAGACAAAAGCCATCTGCAGCATTGTATTCAAATTGACTTCTCTAGCAGCAAGAATACTAAATTACATCCCTCAAGAATAGCAACAAGTATATGATACATAGTACTCTCTTCTGCAACAACACCATTGAATGACCAACAGAAATCATCACAAGGAAATGGCACTTATCGTCAGATGGATCGTCGTTAGTCACCACAGCCAAGCCATCAAAATCACAGTCCCAACTGTTCTGATTCTTGAACTGATAATACATGTTAAAAGCATAGGAAGCATTCCCTTTCGCGCTAAGATGGTTACAGGAAGAACCATACCCCAAAGCTGTGCAATCTGAAAGACTGCACGCGTAATCAATATTTTTTGGTAAGTCTTCTTCTGCATTATCTACCGCATCTGGTTTTAATACACACCACCTTTTGTGCATATAGTTTACACCTTCTACTGCAACCAACCCTTTATCTTTCTGCATCTTCCCGGATAAATCTAGCTCGTATTTTGGCTTCCCATCGAACTCAAAGATTCCCCAATGCCTCTCAAAGTTACCTGGAGCAATGCTTTTCGCGTTCTCATCAATGAGACTGAATAAATATACCTCTATTCTGCCCTTCCGAGCTGGTGTTCCTTGTCCAGTTAAACAATGTTGAATCAATCCTTGGTTAAATCTCATAGCATTTTCGATATTGGCATTTTTATCTCCATCTGTTGGCCACCCTACTTCTCCAACCACGATTTTCACTTCAGGAAAACCAGCTTTCTTCAATGACCAAACAAGAGTATCGAAATTGGCATCAAACACGTTAGTATAAACATAATCGCCATCCCTAACAGGCTTGTTTGAGCCATCAAAAAAGGCAAAGTCTAATGGAAAGTAGATGTTTCCATAGAGACTGAGGTAAGGATAGATGTTAACGACGAAAGGAGCATCATTTGAATACAAATATTGGACAATCTGAATGGTTAAATCGCGTACTTCTGGCCTGAAATCACCAGCAGAAGGAACTGGATTTGACTCGGGGGAGAAGTAAATGTCAGCATTGAATGGAATAGTTGCTTTTACCTCTGACCCTAATCCTGCTTTGTTAATGGCTTCTTGAATGTTTTTCAGAGCTGGTAATATGTATGGCAGATATGTTCCGTTGTATGTTCGGAGAAATGGCTCATTTCCTACTGCAACATACCTACATTCATTAGAGAATTGAAACTGAGAAAAGCTACTTAGAAATTTAAAAGCAACTCTCAAGAATCCTCCTATTTAACAAGTGCATATATTTTGATTTAAAAAAAAAAAGGTAGTCCGGTGCATTAAGCTCCCGTTATGCACGGGGTCCGGAAAGGGTTGAACCACAAGGGTCTATTGTACGCAACCTTACCCTGCATTTTTGCAAGAGGCTATTTCCAATGCTCGAAATCGTGATCTTCTGATCACATGACAGCAATTTTACCAATTACGTCAAGATTCCCCTTCCGTATATTTTGATAAAACAAAGGAAAATACTTGAACAACCAAGGACTAATGGAAGTTCAAACCACAACAGATGCGGATCAATTCTTATATTGTCCATGTTTCCCTTCCCTTACCTCGTCTCCCAATGTACAACAATAACAACAACAACGCCTCAGTCTCAAATAAATTGGGATCCGTTGTATGAATCCTTATTGACCATGGTTTTCCATTTAAGCTCTAACTCTTATCGTCACATACCAAATGAAAATAAAAGTAAAATTGCTCGAGCTATGATTTTTGGGAAAGAAGAAATAAATTGAAATTCTTGGAAATAAATTGCACAAACCTCTACAAACTATATAACTAGTGCATTTCTTATGACGATGCTATCCGGGCCGGCTCGCATGCACTTCGACTGTTTCATCGGGTACCTGCTACCTCCCACCAACACAGTTACCGAATAGTTTTGACGTTTAGACAGATGGGAAGAAATCACCTAGTATTTAACTATTGCATTTCTTATGATGATGTTATTCGTACTATTTCATCGGGTACATGCTACCTCCCACCAATACAGTGACCGAATAATTTTGACGTTTAGACATATGGGAATCACCTAGTATTTAACTATTGCATTTATTATGACGATGCTATCTGTGCTAGCTTGCACACACCTCGACTATTCCATCAGGTCCCTGCAACCTCCCATCAGCACAAGTACCGAATAATTCTACCGTTTAGGCGGATGGGAAGATGAACCACCTAGTATTTAACTAATGCATTTCTTTTTCCATGATTTTTAGTAAAGAAGATGAAATTAAAGAAACAAGGAGGCTATGAAATGAAACTTTTGAACCTGATTTTGACACCACCAGTATAAGCATAAGCAGAGACATTTTCTTGGACCCAAGCAGCAGCCATTAAAGGATCAGCACTCATATCATGCAACATGAAGTTAGGAATAGCAAGCATAACTTGAATATCAGTACCAACTAAAGCATTCAAAATATTTTCATCTGCCTCAAACAATTTCACTTTATCAAATCCATTGTCTTTCAGCATTTTCACCACACTCTTTGGTGGTAACTGTTGAGTTGCCATTGTACCCCAGTTTACTCCTACACTACCCCAACACCTTGTCAACATTCCCATAAATGTAAATAATCCTACAATGCACAAAATCAAGAAATCTTGATCATTTCTTCTACCCATTCTCATTTTTTTCCTTTATCTTAGCTCCCTTCAATGAATCTTGAAAATTTAATCTCCCTTTCTTGTAAGCCAAAGAGTGTGTGTGAGAGAGAGAGAGAGAGTGTGTGCGTAAAGTTTACAGGGGAATGAATGGAATCTTGATTCAGTTATTCAGTTAAGGAGGCAGGAGCCCAGCCATTTTGCGCTTCTAAGAATTGTCAGAAATATCAGTTTTTTTTTAGTGTTATTTAAATTGCTTTTTAATAACAGTCTAAAATGTAGTACATGTTATAAATATATTATATTATGGATGTTCATTTAGTATTTCGTTGTAAATAAGCTTCCTGAATAAGCTTATCCATATGGGACTCCACCGTAAATATGTTTATCTATTTAGTACTATATTGGAAATAAGCTTCCTGAAGAAGCTTATCACTTCGGTACCCGGTTATGGATAAACATTACCCCCAGTATAAGTTTATCCATACCGGGTGTAATAGGCTTATCTTTTCAGTACCCAGTTATGGATAAACATTACCCCCGGTAAAAGATTATCCATACCGGGTATAATAAGCTTATCCATTCAATACTCCGTTATGGATAAATATTGCTCTCAGTAGAAGATTATCCATATCTGGTACAGCAGCAGCTTACACAGCAGCTTGTAGCAGCTTACACAGCAGCTTGTCGTAGCAGCTTACACAGCAGCTTATAGTAGCTTACACTGCAGCTTGTAGTAGCAGCTTACACAGCAGCTTGTAGTAGCAGCTTACAGAGCAGCTTCCTTTCTTCTATAAATAGAAGAGATTTCAGTTCATTATGTACATCAGTTTGAGTTCGAATAATATATCAGTTTCTCTCTATACTTGTCTTTACTTTACAGTCTTTATTTTATAACAGTACAAAGCTAAGAAAAATAGCAGAAAGAAATTAAAAAGAGAAAAATGTGTGATACTATTATTATTTAAATTAAAGGGAGCCAAAATCAATTCCTAACTAACTGGACACGTGGACACTACTTAACGCTGTCCACGTTAAAGTAAGGTAACTAATTTTTTTGGTCACATTAAATCAATTGAAATTACCTACTACAGTCTACAAAAGTAAAATCAAGAAAGTTTATCTATTTTACTTGCATTGATGGAAATATTTACTTAAGGCTGTTTGTGTAAAGCTAAGTTAACAAAAAGTAATTTTGTAAATTTACTTTTATAATGATTATTAATTATTTTATTGTTATTATAATTGATAAAATTCAGTTATTTTGATGGAACAAAAAAATATCATTTCATTGTTATAGTGGATAAATTAGAACCAGCTTGTCAACTTCTTTCTTCTCCTTTTCTCTTTTTTTTTAAAAGAATGGTTAATTGTGCAATCAAACTTCTCTATAACGGTTTCGTTTGTTCAAAATCTTTTTAATTGTTATAACGAAGTGTTGTTACAAAGAACATATATTATAACATAGCATAAAAATTAATTCCAAAAGAAATTTAGCTTTTACAGTGAATGATTGTTATATAGCAATGATATTATAAAGCGGTCTGTCTGTATATTTAATTTTACTGGTTTATTTGTTCAAACGTTACAACACGCTTAGCCAAAAGTTCACATGAAATGAAAAGCTAAAGTAAGCTATAAACATATACTATATAAACATAACAATTAATATACATATTGCAACTAAAAACCAAACTAGATATAAAATCTACACGATACAACACGCTTAGCTACTCGAGGTAGGAAGGCCCTTTTTTTGGATAACTGTGTTGTCCAGGTCAGCTTGCGCACACCTCGACTAATTCCACGTGGTATTTTCTATCTCCCATCAACATTGAAATACATAGGACTACCAACTTCAGACATCAAAGATATCAGTTTTGCCTGCTTCTGTTCTGCTATGCAATCTTACATACACTTGAATATTTGCATAGGAACCAAACAAGGCAGCTTTGCTGGCCTCGCGATGCCATAACTCATAGGGTAATCAAAAATGGTGTTACATGCACAAACCTATACAGGAATTACATCGGCATTCTGAATATCATCACAGGTCAAGATGAGACCTTCTACATAGGTTGGAAGGAGACAACGAGCCCATTGACAGCCTGTTGAAATAGGCTCGGCTGGTGGAACGATCATTAGCACGTTCTCCTGGCGCCTTACAATGCCCATGACACTAACGGTGCTCCCTTCTTTGATGTAACTGTAATTTCAAAAAACCATCAAGAACCTTAGGTAGAGTAACATAAGTATAGAAGTATACGAATCAAAGAACTAACTCAACTTACCCTTCTTTCAGTCGCATTACACGGTCGTCACTTGAGAGGCTCCGATCAGCAAGCCATCTTAGGAAGTTGGGAGACAACTCCCTGTTACTCTTTGATATATCAACAACTGTTGTTGGTTTTACGAATGGCGCCACTTTTGCTCCATAACCTGCCTTCACCAGTGCTCTTAATCCAGTCTGAAAGTCTGATATATAGAAATCAGCAACATGTTTCTGCTACCACGAGACACAGTGAAGTCAGCAACATATAGAAGTTTCTCAATAGACATGATTTTGGAGTCATGACCAGTACATAATCCTGGGATGAGAGGAAGGGGCAAGTATCAATTGTCACCACTCACCACTTGTTATGACCTCTTAGGAGTTAAATAGTATGTATAGAATTTGCGTATCAGAAAGTTAAGTATCAAAAACAGTAACAGGATTACAAACTTTAGCAAATTCTGACCAGTAGAGGTCTAGAAATTTCCCAAAATTTAAGCCTGGAAGTTGGCATATGATGTTGGTTAAGAGACCCTTTGACTCTATCAAATCGCAGAAGTTTTGGTTGTTCAAACCATGAACATAGATAGTCCATGGCCTTATGTGCCCTGAATTCCAAACTTTTCAGCTTGTTGAAGCTTGAATACTTCCTTCAAGTTCCCATATAAGATTTCCTTTTCGGAGATTAGGTAAAGGTTTCATTAAATAAAGTACCAAGATGGTATAAAAGTACAAGAAGGAAGGCTCAAAAACAGACTATCACATTCCTCCCTAGCATCTCCATAAAATCCAAGTATTATTCTACATTTTCCACACCAGAAATACAAATTATATAGACAACTATTCTTAATCCTAGAGATATGCTTTCCTTGTCCTTCAAAACATATTTTGCTTCCTTCCAGCCATATAAGATTATAACACTTTGGCAACCTCTCGGAAGCATTTGTGTAAACTTCTCATGAGGATGGACTAATACAAGTATCAACATTATCTATATCTATGCCACTGTTATGTAAGAATAACTATTGTACTTGAAATAGCATCCAAAGATTGCTGATACCAATTGATACTGAGTGCTATGACCAAATCAAGAAATACTCAAATCGTAGTTGATATGCAAACTAACCTCCGAATGCCTGCGACCCCATGAAAAGCAACGCTGTCTAGGATGTGCAGATTTTCCACCACAACCTTTGTATTCTTGCAATTCTGTAGAAGCATATACACATCTTGGTATCCGCTGAAAAGAAGTTTCAAGGGGGTAACTGCCACAGGTGACAACCTACAGGAGAACAATTAAAATTATTCCCTAAATAACACATGAAGAGTGCAGAATTTGGAATGGAAGATTTTAATGGCGGAGAAATGGATGGTTGGCCACAACCTCAAGAGAATGCTATGACAACTCAAAACAAAACTTAAATACACTGTGGTATTCACTGAGGTTTGTTTTCAGGGGCGTCTTCACATGGATGGAATTTTCTTTCTCAATAATTACTTCCCAAGGACAGGATTCAAAAGGAATTAATTAGTAGTTTAATGATCAACTTTTGATAAGGTAGCATAATGGTAAACTTTCTGTGTGCGTTCATGCAAAAAAAAAACTAAATTGACACCTTAAAAGGAAAGAATAGAATTCTAGCAGGTGTCATCAACTCTATCACAGTCTAAACATTAATAAATACGCAAGCTATTGTGAAGCTAGTATAACTAACAAGAAGTCTCCATTAGATGGTATGAGATTGAAGGTGCCTGTCGAAAATAAACAAGATTCTTCTTTTACTTAAATGACAAAAACAATTAAACACGATTTCAACAGGAGGTTAGTTTCCATCTTCTGGGGTAGCAACATGGATATTAGAAGTCCACAGCCCTAGGTTTCAGATTTCCTAGGTTCAATTTCTACCGTGTCTATTAGAAAAGTAATATGTATGAGAATTCAAAACAAAATTCAGAGCAAAGCAACGAGGACATAGAACTATTGCTGGAGGCTTGGAGCAACAAGAAGCATAGGAAGGGTACATAGTATGCCCGGCTGACTACAGCAAAGCCCTCAAATTGTCCAAGTTTGTATGAAAAAAATGTTTTAAAGGAAATACTGAGGATAATAGTTTCAAGCTGGATTTAGTTCTTGGTAAGTATAAATGAGGCATCCAATCCTAAAGGTTGGCAAACCACTGCAATTATCAGAATCTCTTAGCGACTCTCGGCTATACCATAGGCTTTCCAGGTCTTACATGACCCTTTTTTTTATAATGGTGTTCGGGGAGCCAGATTGTCCTACACATTTGACTACTCCATCAAGCACCTGCTACCTCCCACAAGCAACGAATAAGGGCATTACATGACTTAAAGATTGCTAATAATGAGGCTTTTAAGACCAACTGCAGCCTTTGAAACTCGAGGATAAGGGGTTCACTCCTTGCTTAAACCATGCTCAGTTCACATGGCACAGGGCTCGAATTTGTGAGTTAGGTCATAAGTCCCTCAACCTTTGCCACTTTGTTCTTATTTTATTTTGTTTGTGTAAAGAAAAGTACTTGTCAACTTTTTGGTATGGCTGTTTTGGATGATTCTTTCTCTTCTTTTTTTGCTTTCGTGGAAGAGGCTGGATCAGAAAATGTGCATTTCTGAAATCCTCTACATTGAGGGGGTAATAGAAATGCAATAACAATTCCTATTTATTCATTCCATCAGGTTATTGTGAAAGGAGAACTTAAAACACATCTCGCTTTTAGACCCGTAAATGGTTTCCATTTCAAGCTTGCCTTTATACTAAAAGAATCTAGATGGGGAAATAGAAGAATCAATCTTCCAAGCTTGCCTATATAAAATATCAAGCTCGATACTCGCTGCCCATTTCACTTCTCACGTGGATTCAAATGTACTGAACTTTCTTATAATTTAATCTTGAGATGGAGAACTAGATCAAGAGAGAAATGGTTGTATTGCAATTGGACACCCTGACGATCAAACATCACCTGTCACTATTGTTGTAAAGTTGATTAGTTTACATGAAAAAGACTTCAAATTATGTGGCCCTAACAATGTCAGGGCATTAGTTATCTATTTTACAGTCTGCCTAACAAGGCAGAACGCATTTCTATTAAACTGCATAAATTCCTTACAGCAACGTGCTCAAAGATGTGTAAAGATGTATTCTATACTAGATAATACACAACCACCTTAAGCTAATCATACAAAAATTTAAATATTACAAGTTTGGTTGTCATTTGAGACCTAAGTTGGTCATAATTAAAACAAAAGGCTGCAGAGTAAGTACCAACACCCACACGGATTTCGCCTAAATATTATAGTTGGTTCCTACTGCCATTTATATTTTATGATTGGCTTCTACATTCTACAAATCTTGAGATTTGTAAGATGAAAATGTTTAGCAATAATTATGAGAATCTTTCTACAAATGATTTTATAGAAGTTCTTTCTCAAAAATTAAGTAATCTTATTAAAGTAAAGATTATTCGTTAGGAATGTTCATTTAAAGATTATTCGTTAGGAATGTTCATTTCACATGTGATGCACAAGTTGAAAAGCTATATGAAGTACTCATGACATTATCTAGAACTATGATTTGCAAACAAAATGTATGAGGTCAGAACAACTACTAATGTTAACACAGGAGCAAAATTTATTTCTTAGACCATCTCATAATATCATGTAAAGGGTACATCTGGCTAGACGGTATATTGGAAAAAAAAGCAAGCAAGAAAGAAGCATAAGTTCTCCTGTTTTAGGTAGGATAGGAATCGCAAAGGAGAGGAGAACAGTAGATATTACCTTGATAAAGGAAACAAAGAGACAATTAGAACTTGAACACCACATACAATTAAAGGAAGTGCACGAAAACAGTATTTATTTTCTGGTATCAAAAGGAAAGAAGAAAAGAAAGGAAAGGGCGCCACAATTAAACTTATAAGATACAAAAGGAGATAAAAGGTATTTCTCTGTTGAATAGGTAATGAAAGAATACAAGATATCAGGAAGGTATATATACTAATAACTAAAAATCTATTAAAACTGCAAAGGAATAACTTACTAAAAAAAATGGAAGTATATATACTTCAGCAGAGGAAGTAACCTATATTTAAAAAAAATGAAAGTATATTACATATCGACTTATTATATCATATTTTCCTTCCCTTCTATCTTTCCATTTTCCACTTTTTAAAACAATTCTTCCACATTAAGAATCCAAGGAAAGACTTCAGAGTAACATCAAATCACAGTACTCAGCAGCCAACAATTTCACATGACTAAAACACCACATAAAGCTATGTGCTTTAACCTTTCCTTAAGCATAATTTAGGTGACTTCAGGCAAAATCAATACGGAAAATTCTCTCTTCAACTCAAATCAAAGTTTAACAAATATCCCACAAGCACACTCAAAGTCATTCACACACATGGTCATTCACCTCAAGGACAATATGGTAAATGACAATCTTAAAACTACTTCCTCCGCTCCACAATAAGTGATTTTTAAGATTTCGTCACACCCAATAAGAAGATCACTTAATTACATTAATTATGACGGTTATTTGGCTGACTAAATTAACATTTATCTCTCCTCAACATTAATACATAAGTATTGGTTGACTTTAGGAAATTGTTCGAATCATTGTCACTGATTTGGACCAAATTTGAAACGCTAGATAATCGCTTATTGTGGACCGGGAGCGAGTCCTACTAAACAACCATAACCACCACCTAATGACAAATCATGAGCTAAAAGAAAATAGAATATAGACTTCAACATCACCAAACAAAATTTAATAAGAAATCAAATACAAATTCCAGAAATAAAATAATGTTTCTTCTTGATACTCCTTCCTTTTTAGTCTGTTCCAAAAAAATGATACTTCTTTATATTTAGAAAGAATTTAATTTTAAAATTCACAATTTATAATTTATATATGCCAGCCAGAATATAAAATGTGCATAAGAGTGTGAAATTACCCCAGTAACCTTCACATAGTGTCCATCAACAGCACCTCTAAGCTCAGCATCAGGAAATCTTCTTAAGAACCCCACTAAGCCTCGTTCTTTATACCCATAATTCCACAGTAAAATCACCAAAATTGGAGTTAAAACTCCGCCAACACCCACTAAAATCACCGATTTTTTAACTGCCGCCATCACAAAAGCACCCGCCATTAAAGCCATTAGTAACACAACAAGTAAAACCCACATTGCCACTCTTGAAACCCTAAAACCCATCTTTATATCATCGCTCAAGCTGGTCACGGCGGAGCCGTAGACTACTTTCTTAAATGAACTGGCCGGTTCGAGCTGGCCGGACCGTCGACCAATACTGGAACTCAACGGACCGGAGGTAATGAGACCGGTAGGCTGAATTGGGGTCATTATTGGACCGGAACCGGAGGAAGAGGATCTTTTCGGAATTGGGCCGGAGTTAGGCCCGGATCGGACGGGTCCGGATCCACTATTATGCTGTGAAGAAGATGAAGGCCTCAGAATTGGTGGGCCCCCAAGAGGGTGGAGGTTGTCCCCACTTGAGAAATCGATACCGTACATTTTTCCAAGCTCGCCGGACTTTTTAACGTCGCCACCGGTGTAAGGAACGGCACGAGATGCGACTGTAGGTTGTTTTTCCTTGTGTTGTTCGGGTCGGCCCGAGACGATTAACCCGTTGCTTAGCTGGTGCGACCCGGTTCGAGAACCCATTTTTTTAGAGAATGAGAATCCAAATTGAAGCTCTGAAGAACGAGGAGAGTGTCGATTTGGAGTGTGAAAGTGTAATGTAGCCAATGGAGTGGAAAAGGAGAATGATGAAATTAGAAAGTGGAAACTGGGGATTTGAAAAGACAAAAAAGGACATATTATAATGTATTTATAATGGCATTTGTCTTACAAAGAGTAATTTAAATAAGATGATTAAGTGGGCATTTGGACATAAAAATTGTAAAATTCCAAAAAAAAAAAAAGTGAAAAAAAATATCAAGTGAAAATGTTGTTTGAAAATTAGAGTTTTGTTTGGACATAAATAAAATTTTAGGTTATTTTTGAAGTTTTGCGAGTGATATGAGCGAAAATTTTGAAAAATAAATTTTGGAGTTTTTCAAAAAAAAATCATATCTTCAAGTGAAAAAATTAGAAATTTTACTGCCAAATACTAATTTCGAAAAAAATTAAAAAAATTCCGAAAAAAAAGTAAAAATATTCTTATGTTCAAACAGGCTCTAAGACTCATCTCAATGAATGCAACTTCTTAAGTTTTGATATGAAAAATAGGATTAATAAATATGACTATAAAAGATTAAAGTATAAATATGATTGTATTCCCATGCACGCTTTACGTTGTATTAGTGACAAGAGGGGTTGCTCTGATGGTAAGCAACCCCAACTTCCAACCGAGAAGTTATGAGTTTGAGTCTCCCCAAGAGCAAGGTGGTAAGTTCTTGGAGAGAAGGATGTCGGGTGTCTATTTGGAAACAGTCTCTCTACCCTAGGGTAGGGGTAAGGTCTGCGTACACACTACCATACTCAGACCCCATTAAGTGAGATTATACTGGGTTGTTGTTGTTGTTGCTTTACGTTGTATTAGTGGAGGTTTAGGGGCTTGAAAATTCAATTATGGACATGTGTTTAGAGATAATGACATTTGTGTCCCTGTCTATAAATAGCAGTACAACATGCGCTGTCTTTTTCCAATCTAGGAGGTTGCTAAACATTATTTTATTTTATATTATTTCTTTTATAAGTATTTTTATGATGTTATTTGTTAATAAAAAATCAATGAGATTCGGTGGATGATTGTCAGTATAGCCCATCAATTTAATTTGTTTGATATTAATTGATTATATTTTATGCATTAAATTACTTATTTTTTCATGTCCTTGTAATTGTTTTTCCATTTTATTTATTTGTGTCGGTAGCAAATAAGCCATCACCATCTTTTGGTCCTAGTTTGGTAAGTGAATAGATTGTTCGTCCCAATTTTATGATTTTGACAATAAAAGGTTACTAAATTTAATTTAATAAGGTCATTTTCAATTAGATTAAAACAAAATTAATTGGGCTAATGATATGTCAAATTGAAATAAAAGCCTTCCTACATGTCATACTTTGAATTGATTGCGTATCATTCTCGTATTATCTTAGTCTTCGATTTCTATTATTACATGTTGTTTATCTTGTGTTGGTTTTCTTATTGATTTGTTATTTTAATGTTATTATTGTTCTTGCATTTATTATTTTTAACATTGATTCTTTACTTTTTATTTTTAATATATTTTTTGATAGAAAGACTATTTATTATGTGATGAATAATTCAACAAATGAGTGAGACAAAAGGCAGGTTGAAAATAGAAGATAGTATATAAGTGAGAAATGTCAATATACACTAGTTTTGTTCAATATTTAATGTAACTTTGATTAATGGAATATGAATTCTTTTTCCCTTGTGATTCAAGATTTTCACTCCTTTGATTGTTCAACAAAATAACTTGAGTTAAAAAAGAAAATCACTTTTTAATGTCTATATTTTTAAATATTATACGTAGACATCTCATCTTTAAACTTTATTTAAAGATTTCCACTACTTAATCTATAGTAGACATAATTACCTTTTATTGCACTAACTTTATTTTATTAATCACAAATCTACTCCCACCATAAATTGTCAAATGAATACAAAATAAAACAAGAGATGCAAGCTTTTAAATATTCTTCTTTATTACATATTTTTCAGCTTCTTTAATACTATTTGTCTAAGGATACTACTACCTATCTATATAGAATAGGAGAAGCAAATACACTACATTAAGACAAGTGTCTTAACAACAAAAAGCCAAGTGGCATTATTAAGACAAAATAAACTACTTTTCTAACTAACTTTTTTTTGAATTTTAAATTTTGAATTAAATGGTTACACTACTTTAATTAATAAATATAGATATCTTATAATTATGATAAAAAACGAAAATACAAAACAATATTCTACTTATTCAAATTGGAGTTTTAAAATTATTTTATAATAAAAAAATAAAAAACTACCGATTTAAATTGGAGAGTAATTTCTTTGTAATATAGTAGTAGGAGAAGCAAATACACTACATTAAGACAAGTGTCTTAACAACAAAAAGCCAAGTGGCATTGTTAAGACAAAATAAACTACTTTTTTAACTAACTTTTTTTTGAATTTTAAATTTTGAATTAAATGGTTACACTACTTTAATTAATAAA